CAAAACGTTCATAATGGTCCCATTTACACCTGGTACTAACATTCATTTTGACCAACTGGATCAACAAGTGGAAATTGCTAAAAAACATTTTGTGATCTGATTGTTCATACCGCATTAAAAAACACATGTGTGTACATTGCATTTGTAGTGTAAATGCTTATCTGCCCTGGAGCATCTGGGATATCATCAAACATGCAAGTGAACAGCTAAAGACAAAAAAAAAAGAAAACCCTTTCCCCCCATTCACTAAAACTATATAATAGTAATAAAGTAATATTTTAATTTTATTATTAATTTATAAAAAAAATTGAATCTAAGAAATAAATTACTATTGCATTAATACTATAGTACTGTAAAAATAGTATGAAATAATAATAATATTAATAATAATTATTATTATAATTTTATTTTACAGAGCAGTAAAATTACAATACTAATATTTATGGTTGTCTGTCCTACTTTGTTTTCAAACGTTAAACTATAGAGCTTTTATTCTGGCATAAAACTGCAGGGAGACATTAAAGCTTCTCTTTCGTTGACAACAGATTTATAAACAAAAGGGGAAGATGGCTGGCGTGTCACATTATAAGCGACTTAAGCTCACAGAGCTTGTAGAGATGAAGTTCGTGAGAAGCAGCATTTACCACTTGCAAGCAGATCAACTGAGATGGATGTTAAAATCAGCAGTAAACAAGGCCAAAGCATGTCTTACCTCATGCTCCTCTCCCTCATGATTGATACTTTCCATTGAGTTCTTTTTGTCTAGAACTAGAAAACAACAAAGAGAAACAGGGAAAGTCATCACTTAGTGGCCTGTAGGCATTATTCATTAATATACTTATACAAATCTAATTCACAAGCCTCTAAACCAAACCAGGCACTTTGATTAATAAACACTTTGAAAAAACAAGGAGAAGGACATTTATCTGACCAGCACTGTAACTAAAGCCATGAGCCTGTTCACTTCATTAATTCCAACAAACAAGCTTAATCTTGTGAGAAGACTCATGCCTGTAGGATGCTCAATGCATCAATCTGTTTCAGTGCAAGCACACGCCTAATTACTAAAGGGAAACATTGGCTTAGCCCATCCAGTCATTTAAAACCCCTCATCTACTATTAGTCACCGTAGTTACTCGGTGATATCTAGAATCACTTTCAATGTATGCAATAACACCTCTGCATTACAAAGTACTTTTTATTTAGTGCCTTTGCTAACAAAACACATGGCAAGTTTATCTGCTTGACTTTGGATTTTTGCAAATGGATCTGTGGCCAGAATGTTTATGTAGTTATTCAGGACCTCTTGTTCCGGATTATTATGGAAATCAGGGAAATTTTTCAATTCAGGTTCAGAAAAGTATAGCTGATTAAACTTTAATATTTAAGTTCTGACCAAAAAACACCACAAAAAAACACTGAAAATTATGCTTGAAAAGTCTGAGCAAGGTACAGAAAGGTTGATTATTATGTGACCCCAGGCAGAATAATTTAATCTCAGATGAAAAGCCTTAAAAGAAAATTCATTTTGAAAACTAATTGTAAGTTTAATTGAAAATCTCAAAAGTGCATTAATTCCTGAAAATTTATTTTATACAAGTATTAGTGTGCTATTCAAGCACAAAGTAGTAAGGAAAATGCAATAAACCCGCATGATAGATAAATAATGACAAATGCATGTGTAATGTTTGACAAATATAGATCAGAGTCTATAGTACCTTGATCAGCGTGCTCTGATGGAGTGGACCCTGGATCGATTCTTCCAATCATCGGGTCCTAGAAAAATATTACGAAGGTCACAAATAAATACAGATTAAAATTCATAGTGTTATTAGCAAAAACTGCATGTCTAACATGTAGGTCTACACATACTCTTAAAACTGAACATCCAAAGTTTCCCATCCCTTGCATGTCGATTTATTAAATATCTGGCATATTTGGTAATACTTTCAGCTACCAATAAGTCTAATGTCTAATCTATTTTATATTTAAATTGATTTCACAGAAAATGTGAAAGAAGCATGCAGATTCCATGTGGACTAATGTCTCACCTGTATTACCTGTCTACCACACTCCACTATGACCAATTTATGGCATTTCTTATGGACCAACAGTTTACAGTTTATGCACTTGTATCCCTGCCTGCCCAGGCCCCAGATACGATCTGTGCAGATGGCACAATGAGCACGCTGTACACAACAGAAAACACAGGAACAGGAACAATAAACTATATTGAAGGCATGTGCATATAATTCAGACAAATTAAGTAACATAGCAGGTTTCAGAAATAAAAAAAGAGCATGTTTGTACCCTGTTAAAACGTTTGGCCTGAAATGCATGTCCGTTGGCATAGTAGAGTTTTCTCCAGCGTCGAGCTCCACGACGGTATATGGACTCTGAGTACAACATTAAGGCATTCGTTAAATCTACTAATTACTATCATTATAATCCAATGCATGCTTTTCAGCAATATAAAGTGCAAAAAAAATATTATGATCTAAATGACCATATTATAACACAAGATGCACATACTGTCTTCTCCAGGACAGGGCATGCCAGGCTTCTCAGGGACACACGGAAACACTGTGGAGAGAGAGACTGTGAAAAAAAAGCACTGACAAACATTTCCAGAATGACTTCTTTGTGACCTCTCCTCATCTGACAGCGGATAAGGACTTTACTTTGGGGTCAAGAAACAGAGTCTGTCCAGGCCTGCGAGGTCAGCTGGTGTGGAGAGTGGATATTGACGGACAGTCGGTTGGGGTCTTTTTCTGAAAGCCCTTGAGGCCAGACGTCTCCTCCTCAGCATGACTAATTAACTCACACAGCAGGCAGAACAATGTATCTATGTCAATCATACCCTGAATCCTATCTCTCCTGTCCACTAATTATCTAAGAACCTGTATAATTCTGTAGGGTGTGTTATAAATAAATAAATAAATACATACATGTACCCAAGCCAGAACATCAAAATGTAGAGCTCGGTCTGAGCTCATTAGCAGGGGCCTGCTACACTGCATGTCACATGTCATGCTTCAAAGGACTTGGCTGTTATGACTCTAACACTAGACGCGTTTCCATTACAGATTTGCGCAAAACTCCGCTTACTAAAAATGAGGAACTGTTCAAATTTCATTACAATTTAAAATACTAATTACATTAAAAAAATGTTTATACATTTATTTGATTTTGATTGTTATTGATAATACATTTGTATTAAATCAAAACACAATGCAGAAAATCTAAATGTCAGAATTTCTATATAACAAAAACACTACTGTCATTAAAATTATAATACATTTTTATATTGTAAAGTTTTAGGAATTCAACTAATAAGACATAATTTTTCCTTATTAAATTGTATTAAACTATTATAACAAAAGCCAGAAAAATTAAAATGGAAATCACAGAATTTCGAAAAAAAAAAAAGGATTTCACAGGGCCCTATTTGTCACTTTTTTACACCACATCTGCTTAAGACATGGTGCAAGGCTTTATCTGTCATAATTCTTTCAAGAATCTATAGAACTACACAGAGTACAAAAGCATATGTAGCCCACCCCACATCAAAAGCCAAATCCCAGCATACCGTGAATAATGAGCTCCGAGTCTTTGTTGAGTTCATAGAGACGTAAGGCCTCCTCCAGCTCCAGCTGAGAAGAAACGGTGCACGGATCCCCTGCAATGACAAGCACAGTAAGTGAACCCTTGCTAGATAACGCTACCAAAGACAACATATCTGACACTGCAGAGAAATAAAGCAGGACTGCGAAAGAGACAAGAAACGAGCCCGTTTGCAATCATACTGCATATTGGAAGAGCATAAAACTAAAATCTATTAGTTTTCACCATGAACTAGTAACAGGGTCTGTGGTGTTGTCCGAAGTTGACGTCAATCCTGTTGTTATCTAAAGAGCAGCCTGTGGCACTAACTAACGTTTATAAATTGCATTACTTTTAAATTCTCACCAGTGTTTAACCATTCAGCGCTCTCATGCACACTCACAGCGCACACACATAACGCCAGGTACACATTACTCCGTTTGCAGTGCATACGTGGTGCGTATTTTTTCCGTGCTCATGTTAACGGATTAAAGCGTTTACTGCACACGGTTGCGGTTCTGCAGTGCGTTCCAGGAGCGGTGCGTCTGCAGCAGTGCAGAGATCGTTTCTGTCTATTTTTGCTGCAAAGCAAGCAAATGAGAGAGGCGGGGCATAGAGGACCTACAATAATGTACAGTATTTGAAAAAGAATGTGTTTTTTGAACATTAAAGCATGTCAACATATTCTGTTATACCAAATACACAAAATAATGATCTTTAAAATAGCATCATATGACCCCTTTTAATGGTAGTGTATAAGGATGTACAAGTATATTTGGGAGCATTGACTCCACTAAATCAATATGAAGTGAGAAAATGAGCACGTTTACTCACACAACAATAAGCTAAAAATAACTATAAAAAATTCTTATTTATAAATCCAACAACTCCAAAAAAAACATAAATGTAAGAAATAAAGGTAATGAGCAAAAATGGGCACTCATTGGTTTAAGTCTTGTGTGTAGTTATTAGGGCTGTGCGATATTGAAGAAAAATGCGATATGCGATACCTTGTTAAAAAATGCGATATTCGATATGCGATACGATATTGTTTAAAGTGTGTAAAATCAATTTCAATTATATTTTAAAATATTTAAAAATGAAAATTATAGAACCAATTTGTTTCACATTCTTTCTTGGAAAATAAAGAATCACTGCAACTTCTGAAAGTGACCAGCCGTGTTTTAGCATTACATAAAAAGTAATTTCACAAATCAGAAAATGTAATTTAACATCAGTGTGAACATACAAAATAAAATATTAATGACACTAATTTTATATTATTGTAACTTTGCTTTCCATACACTTTAAGTACTTCTTCATATACCACAGCAAAAACTATAGTCTGAGAAAGTTCAAACATGATTAAAGGCAAGTGAACAGTCAGTAAAAAAAAAGAAAGAAAAAGAAAAAAAAAGAAATACACAATTTACAAGCATAGATAAAATAAACAGTAGTATTCAGGTACAGAAATGTAATAATTAAGTGTAAAATAAAACTGCATTGTGTTCACTGTATGAATTAAATTTAGATTAATCTTTGTTATAGCCGTTTTGTTGTTTGATTAACATTAGTGACATATTCAGCAGCATGTATTTATAGGCTGCTGTCCCTTTAAATCCGACTGCACGGATCCAGTATAATGACACACATCCGATTTCTTTCTCAGCGGTTTACATTCATTTAAAACATAACCGACTGCGTTTACGAGAATGATCGTCGAGACGGGTACTATTGACATAATTCTGTGTGTATGTGTCTGTTCAAACATAAAGAGGAGATGCGAAAGACGAATCAACTCGGTGTCTGTGTGTGTGCACGCGCTTTGCACATGTGCGGCAGAACTGAAGAGACGCTGTGCGAGATGCGGCTTGTGCGCACACTTCAGGTGTGAGTCAGACAGCAAGAGAAACGGCAAAGAGTTGATTTCTGCAACTTACTGCACTTAACTCTTTTTAACGTCAAGCAATTCTCTGCTATATGCGTCGAACTAAAACTTTGTCCTTTTGCAACGTTTTGATTTAAGTAGCCTATTATTAAAATAATAATGATATTGCACTCTGTTGCGATATGCATATTGCGATATTTCGATATATCGTGCAAGCCCTAGTAGTTATGAAATCAGAGTTTCTCCTTAACGAAATCTGATCACAAGAGGTTACAGAAGATGCATGCTAATACCAGGTGTAAATGGCAATCTTCTCAGCTGACTGCTTGTGATCGGATCACCAGGGACAGATATTAATACTAGCTGTAAATAAGGCCAGAGAGGGTAAAGAAACACAAATGAAATGACGAACCTTCTTCATCAATCCATTTCATGGTGAAGAGCTGGTCATTGTCCATGGAGCACATGTCCCGCACCTCACTGCACAGCCCCTCATAGGAGATGGAGGGATCAAAATGTGTGATCATGATGTCCCTAAAACAGAAAATGTGACATTCATTAACAATTTATTCCAATAATATTCTTTTTTTTTTAAAGCTGATCATAAATTTGGGGAGACATTCTGTATACTTGTGTAACTCTAAATTTACTCAAAACACTATGAGCCTTTTTAAAAGACCAAAAGACAAATACAGTACAGCAGGGAGTATCATACGGTAAGTTTGTGGGAAGCTGTGTTGTATTACTAGCACATTCCCAAAAGTAGGAGGCACCCTAGCAGCTTTCTTCCCTCTGCTGACTATTGTGTTCACACTGTTTTGGTAAATTATTGACAGCAGGGGAGTACTTCCTGTCTACGAGCCAATGCGCTGACCCACACATGCCTTCAGGTGGCTGCTGAGACTAGTGGGAGTGCACACACCACCTTATGACAAAGAAAAACACAAGGCTGGTTTTATCTGTTCCAGGATCATTATGAAAAAGCTTTTTTTTTTGCCCATGCATTGGAAGTTAATGGTCACGATTCACGAAAACTGTTCGCTTACCAACATTCTTCAAAATATCTTCTTTTGTGTACTGCAGAATAGGGCTGCACGATTAATCATTCTTTACAATTAAGCAAAATCGCCTGCGATATTGGCCCACTTTCATCCTGAAATTTTTTTTATTTGACATTTCTATTATCTTGCATTGTAACAAGTCTTTACAAGCATTCATGGGGGGTTTACAGATATAAATAGTTGAATTCCCCAATAAGAGAACTACTGATCTGAAAACAGACAAACATGTATGTTGGAGTTTAGCAATTAGTCTCAATTCCAATAATTTGGAATTTCTGGAATTAATATTAGGAATTTCACTGCATTAGCTTTTGAGAAAAAAGCTTCTTAAGCTTTTAACAGTGTTCACAATGTAGAGAGTGTGTTAATGTATAAGATAAATACAATAAATCAGGAAACTAGATGAGGTAAAACAAACCCTATGTATTTTAACGGTATTACTACTCTTACCGATACTGCTTATCGATTCGGTACTTTAACGGTATTCTTATCTGTACTTTTTGTTTTATATATAAATATATATATATATATATATATACATAAATACATAATATACAAATTAAGAGCTGAATTAACATTGCTTTATATTCTGAAATGTAAAATAAATACCAAGCCGCCCATTTTGACATATTTTTGTGTGCATTTGATCGATTGGACATGCGCCCGAAGCTCAAAGTGTAATTTGTTTGTCCGTTTTGGAGCACGCCGCGCGCTTTCAACATTTTATTATCAAACATGTCCCGCAATTTAGCAACAGTAAAGACGGCATCTTACAACAATCACCAACTGAGCTGATTCTGACGTTAAGTTTGGGTTTTAGGGAGGAACGAATGCACACCGCTGTGAAGGGAAAGAAGTTGCACAAGACGAAACGCAGCTAGTTTTTAATAGCTTTACCTCATGTCTTCTTTTGTATTACTTAGAAGCCGAAATAAAAAATAAAATTTGCTTAATAAAACAGTCACAGTCCTAAAGTGTAAGCAGATGTTTGAATGTTTAGTTCTCTCTTTTATCATAATTAAACAGGGCTTTCATGTTGCGCGTGCTGAAACTCCTCCGCGTGGGCGCGATCTCGCTTCTGAATGCACCATAGACAAATGTTTGAAAAACAACTGGCGACTCTGGTGAGATAGAATTTGCAAGATAATGTATAAATACCAATAATAAATGTATGTGTGTTTTATTAATTTCTCCAGTACCGATAGCAGAACCGTTAACAAGAGCTTATCGATACTCCGGTCTTTCATAATTTATCCCAGGGACCGATTAAATACCGGGTTTCGGTACCCATCCCTAATTATCACACAGCCCTATTACAGAAGAAAGTAGGGATGTAACTCAACTCACGATTCGAGTCACGATTTTGATTTCACGATTTTTTTTACAAAATGAGATTTAAGACAAATTATAAATTAAATGTGTCCTTTTATTAAAATAAATAACACAAATCAAATAAATCTCTTCATATAAACAAAATAAGACTTTGTCTGTGCTCTTTCTATTTAAAATTAGAGCCAACCACTGCATTTTAATCATGATCCAGACAAAGATGCTGCATACATGCAACATGAGCAGTTTTTAATCTAAATTAGATTGTATAATTTCGAAATTTGAAGCAAAAACAGAATGGTTTGACTTCAGTTTTGTGAAACTATACATAAAAATATCTGCATGAAACAGCAGAGGAGCAGAATGAGACGCAGATGCACTCTCTGCCAGCAGGTGGCGCTTAATGAGTTTCCTTGGTTTCCGCTGTAAACAAAGCAGCGCTGCACTTATGAACTTTAATATGCATTATACAGAGGCAAGATGAAAAGAAAAAATACCATCTAAACTTTTCTAAAGACAGTAAGTTCCCCTCAGACATACATTCATATAAACTCCTACCCCTAAATGAATCGCGATTTGTTCGCATCTAAACCGATTTGAATCGTCACATATTTGAATCGATTTTCAACCGGCTCGCGGTTAATCGTTACATCCCAAGAAGAAAGAAAGTCATACAGGTTTGGAATGACCTGAGGATGGGTAAACAATTGTCAGTTTTAGTTTTAGTGAACTATCCCTTTAAGTCAGATGACCATGACATCAGGCAGAGACATAAAACCATAAAGTAACATCTCTACTGTATTCAACATCCATAAAAAAAAATTCAGATATGTGTTGCAATATAAGCCAAATCCCCTTAAAGACATGCTTATTACAGACCTACAGCACATAAGAATGAGCAAAAAACAAAAAAACAAAATGAGTGACAGAAAGAGAGCAATAAGTGAATAAGTACAAGAGAGAACAGAGGGCAGAAAAAGAGGAGGAGGAAGATAAAGGCCTCAATATACTTCAAAGAAAGTTTGTTTTCGTTCTTCGTTTGGGGGCAAAAAGAAGTTCGAAAAGGTTTAGTTTTAGTGAACTATCCCTTTAAGTCAGATGACCATGACATCAGGCAGAGACATAAAACCATAAAGTAACATCTCTACTGTATTCAACATCCATAAAAAAAAATTCAGATATGTGTTGCAATATAAGCCAAATCCCCTTAAAGACATGCTTATTACAGACCTACAGCACATAAGAATGAGCAAAAAACAAAAAAACAAAATGAGTGACAGAAAGAGAGCAATAAGTGAATAAGTACAAGAGAGAACAGAGGGCAGAAAAAGAGGAGGAGGAAGATAAAGGTCCCGATATACTTCAAACAAAGTTCGTTTTCGTTCTTCGTTTGGGGGCAAAAAGAAGTTCGAAAAGGCTGAGCGACGGTATACTTTTTCCGAACTTTCCAACACCCCCGCACTGCTGGAGGCGGGGTGTAGATTAATGTAAACATACATGTGTCGCGACGCTCACGCGTATCCCCTAAACACAACAACGATGAAATGAAGAAGTGTAGTAGGCAATCTAGGTGTGAGACGGGCCCCAATGGTCAGAATATTATAGACAAAAGAATAATGATTAGCAGCAGTTCAGAGTCAAGTATCATGTTTGCAATACAAAAGAACCATTCCATTTCCATAATCAGTCCTTTATGGGAAGTCAGTTTGTTACTTTATTTTATTAGTGTTCATTTATTTCATTAAACTGGATAAATTGTTACACCTTTTTATATTTAACATATATATAACAACAGAAACCAAAGGGAACACACACACAGGGACAAATGGTGGGTTTCAAAACGGTCCACACCCAGGAATTCTGTGCTACTATTTTTATAAGGCATGAACCTTCAATTCATGCTCTCCACAGAGCTCTTCTTTAAAGCAAAACAAAATCAGCTTCACTGAAACTGAGATTTCAAAAACAAAGGATGGAACTGCAGGATGATAGGTTTCTTTGAAGATGTTTAACATTACTGTGGCCAGTTCAGAGACACTAATGGCGATGGACCTGTCACTTCCCTATAATGATAATAGTAATAGTAGTAGTAGTATAATAATAATAATAACAACAACGATCACCACTACTACTACTATTATTATCACCAGCAACTGACTGAAACTGATTGAATCATCAAGACAACTGCACACATACAATAGTGCTCATGGGGAGTGTGAACAGATCAGTCTCCAGCAGGTCTGGCAAAAGATACTTGTCATACAAGTTTTTCAAGTGCATGTTAAGCGCACACGTCATCATGAAAGGAAATCTGATTGAAAATCAGTTATACATAAATGTGCTCCTTTATGCACATAAAAGTTATTTCAAAGCAACCCAAGAATTGTTCCCTAAACAGTAAGAGGAACAGGAAACAAATTTACAGGTCGTTACGTCCCATTCTGATAACAATTCCCTGATGTACTCGTTTAGAAAAAACCTGGTATAATTTGACAAATAATATGATGATCTAACTTACATATTGTGTTCATAACACGAACAAACTGTTTGCATATATAATTTAATGAATTTCATTACAGGTACCTGTGACTTTAGTTTCCCCTTAATTACACTGTTATATAGAACCACCTAAATGTGACAGAGAACGCAAATGTTATAATAAACAGGCAGACAGCTCGCTCCATGACCGGCGCAGCTCTGAAAACATCGCATCATAAGCCATAATTATCTTAACTCACAAACAATACACAAACATATAATTAGTATGTTTACGTGAACTATTATGATACGAAAAGAAAAACAGCTGAAGAGGAAGAATTTTGTTTTACTGGAGTTGGTTTCACTTGACACTTGACTTCATCAGAGTTTTGTTTTGGGCTTTGCTAACACTGCCTGCTAGCTAGCTACCTTAATCATTTATTTGTGCATATCCCGAAACCACACAATTAAGAGGTCAAGATAAGATAGTAAGTGTATCGAAACATCTAAAAAGACAGCGCTGGCTCACGGACTACTCACCCTCTGTAATAAGCTTTTACCCGGACCTGGTGCGGGTTTTCTCCGGGGTGGGACATGGTGCTGTCCCGCAGCGTGGGCATTATGAAGTCTCCGTACTCCGGCTAGTGAGCTAACTTAGCTAATGAGGCTATCCCGATGTCGACCGACGGGAGAAAAAAAAATAACAACCGGAATTAGAAAACTGGACTTATTCTTTGGTCCAAAATAGTGTTGACCTGTGGTAGAATGGGCCTGTCTGAAATATTATTACTCAAGTTCTGACAGAATTTAATAGGACTAGTAAAACTTCTGTGGCTGACGGGAAACACTCCCTTCTCTCGCTCAGGCCTCGAGACGGAATGATCCAAACAGCGGAATGTGGAAGGGGGGATGAGGAGGATTTCCAACAAAAACATTACACTGTTTTAGTTACTGTTGGTATCAGGAAAATTATTTGTCTAGACAGTTTAGAGAACGTGAAAATATTAAACGTCCGCAATATGATTAATGTTATGGCGTATATTTATGTTCAATTGAATTCGGTTGGATGGAAGCGCCCGGCAGCATTCCGATTATACCACACAGACTTCGAAGAGGGTGGAGAAGAGCAGCCAAGGAAGTAGTTCGCATACTTTTTTATTTTTATTTTCAAAGAACATTAACATACAATATTTTATCCAGAAACAATAACAAAAAGAAAAAAGGGGAAAAAATTTGAAAGACAAATGACAACAAATAAAAGTTGCCAGGAGGAGTTGCCAGGTTCAAAACAAATATAGCCTTCAAAGATATACATACACACAGGTCGACCGACGGGAGAAAAAAAATAACAACCGGAATTAGAAAACTGGACTTATTCTTTGGTCCAAAATAGTGTTGACCTGTGGTAGAATGGGCCTGTCTGAAATATTATTACTCAAGTTCTGACAGAATTTAATAGGACTAGTAAAACTTCTGTGGCTGACGGGAAACACTCCCTTCTCTCGCTCAGGCCTCGAGACGGAATGATCCAAACAGCGGAATGTGGAAGGGGGGATGAGGAGGATTTCCAACAAAAAACATTACACTGTTTTAGTTACTGTTGGTATCAGGAAAATTATTTGTCTAGACAGTTTAGAGAACGTGAAAATATTAAACGTCCGCAATATGATTAATGTTATGGCGTATATTTATGTTCAATTGAATTCGGTTGGATGGAAGCGCCCGGTAGCATTCCGATTATACCACACAGACTTCGAAGAGGGTGGAGAAGAGCAGCCAAGGAAGTAGTTCGCATACTTTTTTATTTTTATTTTCAAAGAACATTAACATACAATATTTTATCCAGAAACAATAACAAAAAGAAAAAAGGGGAAAAAATTTGAAAGACAAATGACAACAAATAAAAGTTGCCAGGAGGAGTTGCCAGGTTCAAAACAAATATAGCCTTCAAAGATATACATACACACAGGTATACATATAAATATAAATCACAGTTCACAAGCTTTCAAACTTCTTACAGCCTTCTTATTTAAAGAGTCTCTGATACTGTCAATATATATATATATATACATATTTCAGTCAACAAAAGCATAAAATTGTGTTTCTTAATGGTAAATCTACACTTAGCAGAGTAGAGCTGCTGAAACAGTTCTACTCTGCCGTTATTGAATCCGTCCTCTGCACTTCAATAACTGTCTGGTTCAGCTCAGCAACCAAATCTGACCTCGGAAGTCTACAGAGGATAGTCCGGAATGCTGAGCGAATCACTGGTACAATCCTCTCTACTCTCCAAGAACTGTATTCATCCAGAGTGAGCAAAAGGGCTATCAAAATCACTCTGGACCCCTCACATCCAGCACACTCCCTCTTTGAACTGTTGCCATCTGGTCGACGCTACAGAGCACTGAGCACCAGAACGACCAGACACAGGAACAGTTTCTTCTCTCAGGCAATCCATCTCATGAACACTTAACAATACACGTGGAACACACAACACTATTATACATTATTTATTTAACACACATACTTATTTACATTTCAAATTTGCACATATCATATCTGTACATACATAATTGTCTATATTATATGTTGTGTTTTTGCTATTTTGTACATTGTCTATTTTGTATATTTGTATATTATTCTTTTTATTATCTGTGTCCTGTCTTGTCACTGTCATTCTGTTGCACTGTGGAGCTTCTGTCACTAAAACAAATTCCTTGTATGTGTAAACATACCTGGCAATAAAGCTCATTCTGATTCTGATTGTTATGAATGTGAAATTTGGTCAACAGTAGGCTATAAGTAAATAAATCAAGTAAAAGTACTGTTCCTCTTGGTCAGAATAGTCAGTAACCTCAAAGAGTACATTTTCCCATAAGAGTGAAAAAGGTCTTAAACACTGAATATTTTCATTAATACATTTCTGAACCTTACACCATAGAGTAACTGAGTATGAACAGTGCCAAAATAAGTGCAAGGCAGTTTCTTCATATTTATTACAAAGAATCCAATTTACATTTATGCCTTTTTTTATTTTTGTAAATAATGATTTGCTGGATAAAATCTGTGAATAAGCTTATAAGAAACTTCTTTAATCGTATTTCTACACTCTAAACATTGCTGGGTTAAATACAACCCGGTGCTGGGTAAAATAGGGACAAACCCAGCAATTGGGTTGTTTTGACCCAGCGGTTGGGTTACTACCCAGAAGGTTGGGTTAAACATTTAACCCAACCGCTGGGTCAAAACAGCCCAATTGTTGGGTTTGTCCCTATTTTACCCAGCACTGGGTTGTATTTAACCCAGCATTTTTTAGAGTGTAAGATGATATTTATGCGGTAACAACCACACATTTCTCCTGCAAATCAATTTTCCATTTAATAAAGCGATCCAATGAGACAAAACATAAGGTACAGTAACAATTTCTCTTTGGAAGATGTTACGAATAGCTCTATTGCTACTCTTGGGATTTAATAAAAAACACATTTTACCTACATAAGAAGTTCGCATTTTGCATCCTTTCGATTTCCTTACGATTTCTACTAGTTCTGAAGAAGAAATATTTGAAATAATTTAATTCAAAGATTTTAGAAAAGATAACAAATCAGAAAAATACAATTATTGAAAGTACTTTTAAATGACTTTTGAGATGCTGAAGATGTGCAGTCCTTTAAACTGTACTGTCCAGCATAAAGCAGTAACCGAGTCAGACATGAAGAAGTCATAACTTGTTGATTATTAAGTCAAATTAATTCAGTAGGCTAACTGTTCCGACTGGTTGAATAAAAATAACCTGCTCATGTAGTCATTTGTTCTGTATGTTTTTGATTCACTAAAATAATCAACTATAATGGTAATGCATTATCTTTCTTGCGTGATACAAGAATCGTTTTATGATACATCTTTATAATCCATGGTGTAATACGCCTCCTAATGGCGAAACTACTGTCATTACACGATACCACTGGTAGATTCCCTCTTGATACAAGAGTCTGTGCGCTGTAAACAGCCTAGTCTACTCATTGAACCATGTCATTTTGGCAATATTATCAAATCGTATAAGCTTAGAGGTTTTAAAAGCATCCTATTTTAATACGTTTTTAGGCCTTTGCATATTTTTTTATGCAGATTGAAATTGATGTGCAAAATGAAACGGATGCACTCCTAATGAAACTTCAAATGTTTAAGTTCATTACTTACAAAATTAAAACATTTAAAATCCACCACTAAACATATAGGCCTATGCATGGTACAATCAATCAATCAATCAATCAATCAATCTGAAATATTTGGGGATGGAAATCACAGACTGTTGCTTTCTTCCTCTTAAAAAGTGTACCATTACAAAAATATGCACTTTGAAGCTATAGGCAACATCATCCTTATTACATGCTTATTACATACACTGTAAAAAATGACCGTGAATTTAACGGTAAAAGACTGTAAAAATGCTACAGTAAAAACCTGTTAAATGGTTAACGGTAAATTCCCCTACTATATACAGTGAAAAACTGTATTGGACATTACATGTATTGGACATTAATTTTACGGTAGTATACCCTTTTTGGAAGTGAAAAAGACAGTATAATTTACAGTGAATAACCGTAAATTGACATTCCCAGAATTCCATGCGTTACATTTCAAATTGGATGTTTTTATGTTGAAATAACTATGTTTCTTCTTAGTTTTTTCTTATCAGTTTTGTATATTAGGGTTGTGTGTTACACCTAATGTTGTTAAATGAATGTTTATTG